TGACGGACACCGACTAGTAAGTAATTACGCGATGTGGATATTATATAAAACGTGATGTTTATATTATAATAACGGCAGTATAACGCGTTATAATTATTGTCAAACGAAATGTTTGGGAATTTCGTTCGCGGTGTGTACTTTGCACATACATATACGTACGCCGATAAACGCGATACACGCGCGATGATGAGTTTTACAAACAAACTTTGTATTATATCATTATCGCATTAAATACATTTTATGTAAATCACTGTAAACTGCAATGTCCACTTTATAACGTTATTTGTACACGGATTATAATATATTAAAGGTGTTTTTTTTTTTCTCACATTCCGACGAATATTACAAGTAAGTGCCCGCCCGAATCGAATAAAACACAGTTACATACAGAGTGATAAACTTATCACGGACCAGCGGTTTTCTCGCCGAGTGTTCTGAGTGAATTTGATTTGTTTTTTTTTTGTTTTTTTTTTTTCAACAAATACGAAATCGTTTAAGATTTATTTCCACGCGATTTTTAATTTCGTACCCTACACTCCTCATGTCTGAGAATATGAGTATTTCGGATTACACTTTGAATTTTTCATACAGCGATTTTTCGTTTTTGAACACGAATTTAAACGGAACGGCACGTTTTTCAACAAATTTAAGAGAAGCGTAACATTAATATATGGGATTCACCGTTTGTGAATTATACCAGTTTAAAATGTAGACTGGAAGCGTAGAGAAATAAAGTACACTTCATATTCATTTTTAAATAATAATAAATTCGTGACCCTTGATCTCTACTGCTTCGGTCTAAACTGCAAACTATTAGAACAACATAAACGGCAAATCGGATACTACATGCACAGTGTTGTATGCATATGCCTATTGTCTATTAAAATGTGTAGAAAAATATCCTCTATTTGGATTTGTGTTCAAAAGTGAGGTTGCTATTTGTAAATCCAAAGTAAATAATAATTTTAAGTACAAAGAGTAAGGTTAAAAAATTTAAAGTAAACTGTTAAAATAAAGCATTTAAAATCCATCACTATTTTTAAACAAGCACAAATCTAATTTATTTGAAATTCTTAGAGAAAATAATTGGTTCATTTTAAGTTTATCACCCTGTATATAAAGTTGAATAATAAAAATACTTAATTTCTTTTAATGGCGTACCTATCTTTATTATGCATAGCTGATTAAGACTGCAATAATTGCAGTGCAATTTCAAATTAAAAATGCTGTTTCAAGTCATTAGCGTATTTGAAGTTTAAATAAAAATTAATGCAGATTATTTTAAAATCCAAACTGTCGTAGATTTCAAGAGGTCTTAAAGTCTACTTCTAAACCGCTTTGGTAAATTGACCGTTTAAAAAATCGTCTCATCTTCATCAGATAAGTCTATAATATAGACGAGATTGGTGATGAAATTGACATTTTATTTATATTTGATAGTTTTTATGTAACAGAACAGAATACTTAACGGCTTACTAACAAGAAAATTAAATTCCATTTTTGCGCAAAAAATTATAATGAAATGACAAAGAGATTGTTCAGTGCAGAATATAATTTAGGTCTGAAAATTGTACCTACAGAACTGAAATAAGTTCAACAACGCTACCTAATATCCATAACTATAGTATGTTTGATAGCATCGTGTATTTATTTTTAAAAAACTGTTATTTATAATTTTACAGAACCGATACGCAAATAACAAGCATTCATTTTTATACAGTTACCTGTTTCGATTTTCCGTAATGACAATACATTTCGATGTTTTTTCAATTTACATTTCATGTATCATACATCAATATATACATATAACTATACCAATGGTAAGAGTACAAATATACAATATATATTATCGATACCGTTGCGACCGTTTCTGTAGAAAATACTCTCATAAAATATAGTATTATAAAAAACTTTCTATATTCGAAACGGCGTATATTGAAATTGTTTTCATTTCTTGTCATCTGGCAGCGAATCATTTTCTAGTAAAAACTACGCCTTTGTACAGGCACTTTCTACACAGTATCACTAATTTTTATACCTTATTATAAACAATGTTTTTTTATTTTTTTCCAAACATGTATATCTTTGGTTTCGGGAACAAAAGGCTAAATCAATTGCTTATAGTTTTCCATACAAGCGAACTATATTTTGAAAATGGTTACGAGTGAAAATTACATTTTCATTGTCATATTATATAACTGTTATGTCTCATTTGCTAAAGCACGTCACATATTTAGCGACGACTTCGTATAGAATTATAGAATTAAGACATTTTCATTTAAACTTGTTTTAAAATACAAATACGCCATTTCGACGGAAAAATAAAGTGAACAAAATTGTATTATAAAATAATCATAAAATAAAAAGTCAAACTTAAGCCCTTTTTTCCCTAAAACCAACGTCACGGTACCTATATAGTGTACAGATGATATAATGCAGTGCACAATGTCCGCTAATATAATTTATGCGCAGCGAAGAATGTATTGGTTTCATTATGATGTGCGAGTTTTTTTTTTTTTATCTGTGAACAATCCGATTTTCTAGTGTAGCGTATTTTCCGCGTAGTTTTCATAATGATTGGAGGAAAAAAATGTGAAAATTCAACACGAGGTTCATAAAATAGTCTTACCTAGTGGTGAAAAAAAAAAAACATTAAGTATATTAATCGTACAGTAATACTTTGTTATAATCGTTTAAAGTTCATTTATTTTGACGAAAATCGTAAAAATCGTGGCATTTATAAACTCGATTAACACGTTTGTTCAGAATCGTTTTTCATTGGCAACGCTTTATAAATTACTCTATGTATCCTGTAACAGTGGCATATCAGTGAACAAATAAGTATACCTATTAGTTTTTTTTCGCATTTGATTTTTAATAATTTTTTCTTGGTTGCTCAATATGTTAGATTTGGACAGTGACGTAAACTGCAACAATAACGCCAGCGGAAAATTATTATTATTATGTAAACTTAATCCTACTTCGATCGTAAAATCATATTGTACGGCAGATTTGATATTTAACAATAATATTATTTTTATTATACGTCCGTGCGCCGTCAGTAATAAAATCTCCAAAGATGGACGGTGTATAAGGACACCACGGTATCTATACTAACCCAAATTCTGCACATTCGAGTAAATAATACAGTGAAACCTCTCGGAATACGGAATCCCCTTTGTAACGGAAAATGTCCGCGATAGTCGCGCGGTTCGAACAGTAGCTAAAGGACGTAATCGACTTTTCTAAAACGGAACCTATCTACGCCAAACGGAAACGGAAACATATTCGCAATCCGATTTGTAAAAATACTCTCTCTACGGCGGAAAATAAAACTGTTTAAAAACGAATATTATAGAATTTACATGTAATCGCAATTGGAAATGACGTAATCTGAACTCTATCGTTAGCTCTAATATCAAATTATTGGTGTTATCGCTTCGCGGTTGTCATATTTTAATATTTTTCATATTATACACAAAACACTATAGCGTATAATAATAATATACAATAGTATGGCAAAATATTATAATCTTAAAGTATACACATTTAAGTTGCGCGAAATATTTACTCACAGGTACCCAAAGTTTAATTTGTTTTCATCCTCTCTACAACGGACAATAAATATATGTGTTGGTCCCAAACGATTCCGTCATAGAGAGCTGTTTTATACCGTATTCAAATTATTCTGACCGTTTCGTCGGCCCGTGTGCCCTTTGCAATTTAGGACTTGGCGATTCAGCGACGTTTCCGTTAATTTTTTTTTTTTTTTTTTTTCCGAAAGCATAATATCTAAAACTTTGCACACGGTATTCTATACGTTTCGTCCGGTTTATTAATTGGTACCTATACTGTTGCAGTGCAGTGTTCGAATGCAGGAAAATGGCCGATATAAATTGTACGCAAATTGATTCGAAATTATCATTGAAACAAAACGTGCGCGATATTTTTTTAAACAAAAAAAACCTTATTACGTAAATCGCTATTCTCAAGACAACAATATTGTGATTTTTGAAAATTACAAACGTGCAATTTGTGTTGCCGTTACGGTTTTTTATGGCACAAGTGTTACGGTCGGGCAATGATAATAATAATAATTTATAATTATATATATCAAGACTATATTTTGTTTGTTTGACAAACTATTCGAGTGCGATATACGCATAATAACGGTGTATAATACCTGTGATTTCTCCACAAAACGTCGAGAGTACACCGCGTGCACGTGTACTGCGTGTAGTACTCCCTGTGGGAACTTCCGCGCGCGGACTAAACATTTTCGTTCCTACAGCGCACCGGTTGAAATGAAAGCCGCACCGCTTTGCGCGTTACGCGTTCGCGTGTTACTGCACGCCACCATTTTATTTGCCCTTAAACGCGCGACATTTCGCGGGCCCCGTCGAGCGAGCGGCCGAATTCAGTTGCGAGATTCAGCCGATGCGTACAACAATGATAAACAAAAAAAACAAAAAAAAAAAAACAAAAAACTATTATACATTACACAGAGGTGCCCGCACGCGGGTTTTTTTTTACCGTGTGTCCGGACGAATCGCCGGCCCTCCCCGAAACAAAACGATAAAACCGTACACGCCGTCGTAGTTACAATTGCAATAAGGCTATGTTATTCTAAATGTCACATCACGCGTATACACTGCAATAATCTGCACATTTCATATAGGTATGACGCTTGCGAACATCGGCCGTGTTATTCGTCCATATTGCGCACTGGACTTTTTTTTTTTTTTTTTTTTTTTTTTTTTTTATTATTATTTTTTTGTTATTTCCGTCAAGTATATATTACAGGCGTACGACATTCGTGTGTTACGGTAACACCGTGACGGACGCATCGGGAGGATGTGAATGTTCGATTATAAACACGGTTTTGTAAAAGCACGTTCCATGTATTATATTATATTGTTATATATATATATATATTTTTTTTTTTTTTTCCTTAAAACCATACACATTTATGTAATAATATAATAGACATAATATAATATATCGTTATGTATAATAAAAACGTAATAATAATAATAATAATAAAAATAATAATAATAATAATAATAATAATAATAATAAATAAAAGATATTGTTTTATATACACGCGCGAATTATGATGTGTGTGTGTGTACGTGTGTGTGTGTGTGTGTATACATATGTATATATATATATATATATATATATAGGATACGGCCGTGACGATGCGAGTCACAAAAATTAATAACGATGATGATATTATACATCGGCGAAAAACGATTTGGAAAAAAAAATACAAAGTATACATTAATAATTACTTTTCCGGCGGCGGCGTTGTTACGAAAAAGAAAAAAAAAAAAAAATAAATATATTTTTAAACACAATACGATCGTTATTGTTGTGCATTACATTTTATTACGAAGAACTTATTTTTATAGTATAAATATACGATATATTTATACTAGAAATATATAGTTTATTTTTTATTAGACCACTACACAATGGATAATAATATTTATTATTTACCGACGAATAATATTTTACAACGGCGGCGTTGACGGTCGTAATATATATATATATATAGGTATATAGGTATATATAGGTATATATAGGTATATATATATATATAGGTATAGTCACATCACAAATGTATTATTATATAGTCGCATTACACTGCGCGTACAATATGAACAGTTACGGGATTCGTATTATTTTATATTGTGTCATTGATAATTAACAAGACCGCTACGCGTTTTTAGGTACATATAAACATTAAATAAATAAATAATAAAATATACGCGTTTATATATTGTGTACATCGTCGATTTGTCATAATTACAATGTTATACAAATGTAATAAACACATAAACATATGCCAGCTGTACAACATATAAACGCGTAAAAAATAATGCACGAGGAGAGTGGATATTTAGGGGCGAGAAAAAACGCGAAACAATTATAATATGATATAATTATATTCAATCGTAATATAATTATATTATGTTATAATGTATATAAATATACTTACGGGACAGTCGCGTAACACTCGTGTTGTTCACATCGCGCGTCGCGTTATTATTATTATATTACGATATACACGTATAGGTTATTGTTAACAATAATTGTAACAAATTGTACGTTTTTAATAAATCAAATTAAAAATTAAAATAAAACAACTATTTATATATATATATAATATGCATATATACACGAATAATATTATATTATATATATTTAATTGTACAAAAGTCGTTTTGTATTTTTTTTTTTATTTTTTTTTTTTTTTTTTTTTTTTTTTTTTTTTTTTTTTTTTTCTATTTTTTTTTTTTTTTTTTTAACGCGTACATCACATTACTATATCGTTATATATTATTATTATTATTATTATTATTATTATTATTATTATTATCACCATCGTATATCGTATAAATATAATAATATATACCTGTAAATCATCACACACACGTATATAAAAATAATAATAATAATAATAATAATAATAATAATAATAATAGTAAATATAAGTCTAAAACGAAAAATTACGATATCAAACACGTAAGTATAATAATATATAGGTATATGACGGTACCTAAATATAATATATATATATATATATATATAGGTACTCGAGAGATTACTTGAAAAACAACAAAAAAAAAAAAATTATTACACATTCGTTACGCATGCGCATAAGCGACCCGAATAATATCAATATAATTATTATAATAGATAGATATAATATAGTTATAATTGAAATAATAATAGATAATAATAATAATAATAATATATAATATATACCGCCCGAAAAGCAGCGTTTCAGCTCTGGGTGTGTGTGTGTGTGTGTGTGTGTGTCTGGTGTGTCTGTGTGTGTTTTGTGTGCGTTATTGCATCGCGTTCACCGGCGGTCCCGCGAGCCGTTTTCAAACGAGCGGCGGGTATTGGTGCTGGTGGTGCTGTTGATGATGGTGGTGATGTCACAAAGGTGACGACGACCCGGCGGCGGCGGCGGTCGACACGGACGACCCTGTTGAATGCGGCCCGCCGGACGCTGCGGCGGCGGTGGCGACAGCGGCTGCGGCCGCGGCCGCGTGGTATAGGGCCTGCTGGTGATGCGGGTGTCCGTGGTGATGCGGATGGTGCGGGTGAGCGTGCGGATGATAGTAGTCGTTGTATCCGGCCGTGGTGCCGTACTGCGAGGCGGCCGCCATCTCGTACATTTTCTCGGCGGCGGACGCGGCGGACGTGGACGAGGCGGTGGCCGCGGCCGACGGCGAGGGTTTGTCCGCGGCCGTGACGGACGCGGCCGGCGGCGGAGGTAACAGCCGCGTTATGGAGAACGGATGGTTGGACGCGGCGAATTCGGCGGCGGCCGCGGCCGCGGCCGCTGCCGCCGAAGATTTCAAGTGTTGCTGCAGTTGGAGTTGCTGTTGATGGCTGTGGTGTTGCTGCTGATGGTGCTGTTGTTGCTGTTGATGGTTGTGGTGCGCCGCGGCCGCGGCCACGGTGTAAATGTCTACCGGACTGTGTTGCTGGTGGTGCTGTTGCTGCTGGTGATGGGGCTGCTGTTGGTGTTGTTGTTGCGTATGGTGTTGCAACAGCGAACCCACCAACATGGAAGACGACGAGTCGTCGTCGCCGGCCCCGTGCTGTTGCATGTGGTGATGCATATGGTGCACGTGATCGTGATCACTGTCGTGATGGTTTCCGTTGTTGTGATTGTTTTGGTGTTCGTGCGTGTGATGGTGGTGCAACAACACGTGGTGTTTACCGTGTTGCTGTTGCTGTTGGTGCTGTTGATGTTGCTGGTGCATGGCGCCGCTGAATCCTAAATCGGCGACCGCGGCCGATGACATGAGCCCTCCGCCGCTCGCGCTCAGCTTCTGGTTGTGGTGGTGTTGGAGCTGTAAGAGATGATGGTGATGGTCCACGGCCGCCGCGGCGAGTACGGATGAAGACGACGCCGACGACGGTGGCACCGACGACGACGTTTTTTTGTCTAGAACCATGTCCAAGTGATGCTGCTGGTGGTGATGGCTACCGAACTGGTGTTGACCGGTGAGCTGGTGTTGGCTGCCGCCTCCACCGCCTCCGTGCAACATGGGCGACGAACTCTTCGAATGGTTCTGGCCGCCGTGGTGCTGATGATGATGACCGCCATCGCCGTGTTGCCGGATCGACGCGACGTCTTTTTTGTCGTCTTTAAAACGCTTTTGCCGGCGCAGATAACAACCGTTCTCGAACATGTTGCCCGAGTCCGGGTGCAGAGTCCAAAACGAGCCCTTACCCGGTTTGTCGGGCGTGCGGGGCACTTTGACGAAACAGTCGTTGAACGATAGCGAGTGTCTGATCGAGTTTTGCCACCGCTGTTGGTTTTGCCGGTAGAACGGAAACAGGTCCATTATGAACTGATAAATCTCGGAGAGCGTGAGCATTTTGACGGGCGAGTTTTGTATGGCCATCGTGATGAGCGATATGTACGAGTACGGCGGTTTGGCGTGCGTGTAATTTCGGCGGTACGTCTTGTCGGCGCGGACCCGCTGCAAGGCGGCGGCGTTGGCGGCTCCGGTCGGATCTCCCCCGGCGCTGGCGGCCGCGGCCGCGGCGGCCACGGCGGCGGCCGAAGCGTTCAGGCCGTACATGGCCGCGGCGGCGGACGCGTTCATGCCGCCGTACAGTTGCTGTTGCATGTTGGCCGCGGCCGACGCGCTGCTACCGAAAACGAGCTGCTGTTGCTGTTGCTGCTGTTGCTGTTGCTGTTGCTGATGATGCGGAGGCGGCGAGCACAGGGACGGCGTCGAAGACGGTCCGCCGCCGCCGGTAGCCGACGAGTTTCCGCCGTACATGGCGTTGGCGGCGGCTGCTGCGGCCGCGGCCGCGGCCGCCGCGGTCGCAGTGTCCGAATACAACAGTTTTTGGGACGATAGCATTGTCATAATTGGCGCGTTTGTTTTTAATACGGTCGCTCGTTTCTATTGTACGGTATGATAATATTATACGAAATATGCCTCTACCTGTAACCGTTCGAAAACACTTCGAAAATAACGGTGGCGTCGAACGAAAACTACGCGTGTACCGTCAATGTTGGCGACTGCTGCTGCTGCTGCTGTGCGACGGTGACGACGACGACGAGGACGGCGACGGCGACGATGCCGGTAACCGCGGCACGGCGCTAACGGACATAGTTGCCGGCGGATACAGAATCCGAATGCGCGACGGTTCCGCCGTTTTTCCGCGTGTTCTGCAGCGCGCGATGACAATTTTATAACAATTACAACCGGGACGAAATTGCGTTACCGCGGACGCACGGCTATACGGCACGCGTTTATCGGCGGCGACGACAACGGTAACGCGTGTGCTTTCGACTCGGAACGCGAATGCGGACGACGGGCCGCGGACCGGACGTACCTACGTGTACGGTGTATACGTACTGTTGAAATAATAATATATTGTATACACTGTACTCGGGTACGTATATGTGTGAGTGAGTGCGTGTGTGTGTGTGCGCGCGCCGCGGACGTCTATGTGCGTACGCGTTTCTGTGCGTATTGTTCGTTCGGACAAGGCTGATCGCGGCGAACTACTGCCGTCGTTAAAAACCGACTGAACGAGAGTGTGGTGCCCCGCCGCCGCCGCCCCGGGTCCGGTCCCGATACACGGGCGCGCACACACGCGCGTCGTATACGCTGGCGCGTTTTGCGGTGGGGCGCGAAAGGAGGTGGGGCCCGCCGCCGTCAACAGATGTATTTTACACTCGTTCGCGTCCGTGTGCGGGCGCGTCGGCTCGCGCGATTGTGCGGATCGCCCGCCCGCCCGTCCGTACAGCTGCGGTGGCGCCCCGGTCGCCGGCGTTAGCGGAGCGGCGGTGCCGGGACAAAGCGCCCGCCGCGCATTGGACGGCGCGGCGGCGGACGGCGGGGTCGCGGGTCCGGGCCCGCCTACCGAGCCTCCTGGGCCTCGGTCGCCATGGACACGGCCAACCGGCGTCGTTCCCGTACCGCCGTACGCGAGCGCCGGCGGTCCCCCCACTCGCCGGCGTTCGCGCCGCAACGATTTTCCGCCGTTGACGGTTTAGGTTTTTTTTTTTTTTTTTACTCGGTCGTTTTTTTCCCACATCAGTCACGTCGCCGACGGCACACGCATCGCGGCCGCGCCATTGCACAGCGCCTGCCGTGTAATTCAAGAACCGTTGAAGACGCGTTATAATGCCATAGCGGAAGTATTATTCAAACGACGACGCGCGCGCGCGCGTTCTTACGCGTATTTCGTTGTACACACTCTCGTTTATTTTTCATGCATACAGTTTAACGTCACCGCGATTCATTCAATTATTATCGTAATACCGCGCGGCGTGTGTTTCATCGCGCGTACATATTAAAACATGCTATAATATTATAGTGTACACGATAGTAACGACACGACGCCACTGCAATACAGTAAAACACAGTTTTATAGTTACGGTTTAGGCATATAAAACGCGTGCGGTGTAACGCGCGGTGTTCTGGTCTAGTAGAATTACCCGTCGCCGCGGCTGCAGTTGGCCCGACGGAGTAGTAACAATTTTCGTCAAGACCACCATCAGTACGAGTTTCTCGTATTTATATGTATACATACACTGTTATCAGGTAATATACCTCAACCACCTCATTGTGACCTATAGGTCATACCTGTACGGTTGCTAATAATAATAATTGCGGGCGGGCCGATACGTGAAAACCGAAACTCGTATTTTCGGAGAAAAATGTCTCTAATTGTCTCTGGAATATGAAAAAGTTTTTTTTTTTTTTTTTTTTTTTAACGGGTTTTCATTCGATAATTTCAATGTATTACCATACTCGCGTTGTATAGTTTTTCGATTTCTATTATCGAATATCGGTTTTATATATAAATATTTTTACATACCATGTATACCTATCGCAGAGTATAATCGGATATCGGTAAACGTACACATCGGCCCGTCCCTATGCATAGTACCCCGTACGGTATGCGCACGTTTTCCCATCCGTTTCGTAAAATTCTCAATTCCTCGGTGCATTATACGAGTATTTGTGTATACTAACTATATATGTATGTATGTATGTATGAAAAACCGTGTCAATCGATCGAAATAGGTCGCACATTGCCATATTATATATAATCAATTAAAAATATTCAACATTTTAAATTTCGTGACGGATATCTAAATAATTTGTCGATTATATTCAACACGATTATTGTTTATTGCAGTGCGATTCATTTGAGACGTCCTACCTGCGAAATACCGTCAAAATCTGTCGAAAAATGAGTTGTATAGGCCTAGCTGTGACTGCGATCGACAGATCCGACTGGCCAAAATGACAAAATTAGTTTTCTTTTTAGGTGTGGGGGTAGGGGGGGGGAGGTTAAATTACTGCAATACCTTCTTCGGGGCGGCCTCGTTATAGCGCAAAATCCACGGTCGTCATTACGTACCTATAGGTAGGTAATATAATAATTATTAATAGTTATTATTTTAAACAACGCATTGTCTTATAATGTGGATTTTACCTTCTTGTATAATATATGCCTCCGAGGCTCCGACCACCTTTTACGACCTATAACCGATTTTGGTTGTGACACCGCAGGCCCTGAAATATCATTCTCGTCTTTGTTTTAACATTATATATAGGCAGCTGTTATCGTAACATTTCAGGCCCTAAACAAGATAAGTGTAGAATATGACGGCTTACGCGTATGACTTAATACGAGTACCATAATATGATATATAGGTATATTATGGCTATAGAAATATTGATATCTATATTGCGTTATCGAAATGTACGGTGACGATTCGCTGCAGTCTGTACAGTCGAAATGATTACGACAGGCTACGATGTTATTCAATAAGCTATTTGTGATCGCGGTCTTATGGTTTTTGTTCGTGCAGCAGATCCGCGTGTTGTCGGGCCGGCACCACCACCGTCAAGTGAGCTAAATGTGTAAGCCCTATTATTATAATAAATAACTGGTATCTATATGCATGTATGTGTATTATACACACACTTAAAGAGATTACTTAAACCGTATGCACGGCCGTAGTTATATCCGCATCGTGATATATATGTATATACGTATAGTAATTCGCATTGTACTACGAGTAGGTATAAAAATATTATAATCTACACGATATTGTATTCGTATTATATTGTAGCGCATAATGTAGGCATTGTTTTTATATTTAACAATTAACGCGCGATCGCGCCATTGTCTTTTGGTAAATAATTTACTATATATTCTGGGTCGGGCCGACCCGATGTACTCTAGACCAGCAATAGCCGGTGAGACCGTATTGCAATGTATGCGAGGCGCCGTTTTCGATACACGCAAAGCAGCCCATTTCTTTTTACATTGTATATTTTTTTTTTTAATTAGCGTAAAGAAAATGTACGACGTTTAACGCGAAGTACAACATAGCGCGATTTCCTCAGAAGAGGTTAATTTAAGTCAATTTGATTTCTGTTTTTTTTTTTTTTTAACCATTATGGAATCGGTTAAGCTTTATTTTAAAATCGTTTTTAATTTGTTACCCCTACTCCATACACTTTAAATATAAGTATACACTTTTCTTTTTAGAACAAAAACACTTATTTTTGAACACATATTTTAATAGAAAATATTTTTTTTAGAACTTTTAATATGCATAACACTATATATAGCTATATAATATCAAATTTACTGTTTATAATGAGTTATAACCGTTTAATGTTTAGACTGAGGTAGTATAGAGTGCAACCATGCAATTTATTACCCTCCCCTACTCCTCCAGTCAAAACCTATACCTATTTATGGTATATGGAGTAGGGGCAAAAAATTTAAAACGGTTTTAAAATAAAGCTTTAACCGATACCATAATGATTAAAAAAAAAAAAAACAGAAACCAAATTCACTTAAAATCCTCTGAGAAAATTGCTGGTATATGATCACCCTATTTATATTATACTATAGTATATTACGAGTATAATATGTTATTTGTAATATATTAACTGTTCCGTTCAGCTTTTCCCATGCACTGCAGTATTAAACGGTCCAGTGTTTTCTGAGGTTTGCCATTACCGTAAATACATTGAATTTCACATTTAACGCGTGGAATGCATAGTTCTTATCTTATCAAAACTGTTTTACCATCCGCAAACATACATATAAAAATATTCGATTTTCGTGGGCCGAAATGAAATTCATGCGTGCGTGACCCGCCTTGTAGTATCAGCTTTTATGGGTTGAAAAACAAAGCTACAAACCCTCCATGAGTCTGAAGGAATATATATAGCATATGCGCAAAATCGATACCAATTATTGGGTCGGTTGTTTTTGAGCTTGTTGATCACGAACGAACGAACGAACAAACCAACGTTTATTATTATTATGTAGCAATAATGTATTATTTCGCATATGACGTAAAAAAAAAAAAATAACAAGCAGCAATCTCAATCTAACAATAGTCATAAATATGTACTAACTGTAATTATATGTAATACAAATTTATATTTTATAATTACTACGACAATTATTGATCGATTCTGAGCGTTTAGAAAACTGTACATATTGAGTATATATTGAAATGTATATACTCATATTTTCTTAAATTTAAGCCATTTCCGCAGTAAAATTCAAAAATAATAAAAGTTGATATAATACTGGCTCTCGGGTATTATAGACCACTGTTTTATATGTGTATATAGTTGGAAACATAAAATTTTTAAGTCAGTTTATAGTTTATACGCAACGATAAACTATTAAAAACAAAAAAAAAACGATTCTGAGCGAAGAAGTATAAATTATAATAGCAGCTATAGCAGTATTATTGGTTGTTTTTGACCAGTGCGTAGCCAAGGTAACTTAGAAATGAAAACAAAAATAAAAACAGATGTATCGATATTTTGTTGTTAGTTTTTTGAATTTCACGTTGGTTTCCAGTTTTGTTCTCTAGTTCAGCGTTTCTCAAATTGTGAGTCACGACCCACTGGTGAGTCCCGAGTCAATTATTGATGCGTCGCAAAAATTGTTTTGAATTTTAAAGATTTCAAGAAATTTAATTTTTCTAAGCGGAGCGAGACATGTATTGGTTTCATAACGATGTTTATTTTTTTTATTTGTAAACAACTTTTCTATCAGCAATATTTTGCTAAGATTTTCACACCGTAGCAGTTTTTCTGAAAGGAAATCCGACTGGTGTGGTACTTTAGGGAGGTCGCCTTTTGATTTTAGTTGAAAGATATAGATTACGCATAATTAATAGTAGTTATTTAATGTTGATTGCAAACGCACCGCAAATAAACAATCGTGTTTTGTTATGAAATTAGAACTCGCAATAAATTTTTTTGTGCGTGATAAAATAATAACGCTCGTGAGTATAATGCAAATAGATAATATTATAGGTTATCTATTCTACCTATAATTATTACAAATTAAATTATAATACAAATTAATTTATAATATTTAAATACTAAACAATTAATGTATATTTCTGTATTGTGTTTTAATTAAGCAGATATACAATTTATTTGCAAATTATGAAACTGGATTGAAAAATAACTCTTTTATAAATACATACAAAATCAATATAATCACATTTGTATACAATTTAAAAATACTTAAATTGATGTATGGTGTTTATTTTACTATATATTTTACTCTGACAATATATTTACTTTTTAACCTTATATATTTATCGTTTTCATTTTCAATATTTATTTTCATGGATAAATCATTTAAAACAATTTTTTTGAAAAGCTTATCAGTTAGATTAAAATGTATAGTTGATAATGTACGGTTTTCTAATTCTTTTTCGCTTATTACAGAACATTGTGATTCTATTGGGTCGACTATAAATATTTTTTGTTCTTCAATAATCTTATTAACAATTATTGGAAAAAAATATCTAGAATATTTAATGGAGAATTTTATTTCTTGCAAGTAATTTTCATATTTGAAACAACTGAAACTGTCTAATAGATCATGCATTTTAACAAACATAGGACAAACATCAATAAATAATAAACATCAACATAATGTTCCTCCTAAACAATTAAAGAACTATTTTTAAGGAACAACTATATGTCATCACGGTAATGTGAATTAGCAATGTTTTTGTTGGAACACAATTTCAACATAGCGGCAATGATTTGCAATGATTTTGTCATTCATTGCAGATTGCAGGGTCTTCATTACACACAAAATTAAAAAAAACGTACAAGATTTCTGCTGCAATAGTTTAGTACAATAATATAGGTACCTAAATAATTATCGTGTACAGTGTATTGTGAACAATATTTTACTAACATAATAGAAGCTGGTAAATGGTTTCCATGTTTAATTTATACAAAAACAGTAACTATACGGCACGTATTTTATAGTGTACTTACAAACGCACACACGCACACACACAGCATGTACCTAATATCCGCGTTAAGTAAACCAGTAAACGAGCGGTATTTATAGGATTACATATTATTATAGATAGTACGGAATGCGTGAGGGATGGGGAAGCAACCCTACATAACCGCATTCAGTTGGCTCCCCTATTCAAATTCATATTTTATTTAGCGTATAATTTGATTATCATACATATATTGGTATACAATATAATATACGATGTTATCAGGGCTCGGAGTTTTTAGTACTTAAAATCCACAAAAAAGCCTCGAAAAAAGCGCTTAAAGATATTTAAAAAAGCATAAAACGTTAGAGGGGTTAAATGTCCCCTTTCTAATGGCTCTAACTTATAATAAATACAATTTCTAACATTAGAAAAATGTTAATTTATACAAGTTTGTAGAGCCGTTAGATGGAAATCTTTTAAAACTCTACAATTTTTGCTTTTTTTTAAATATTTTTTAGGGCTTTTAATGTTTTTAAGCGATTTTTTTGTGAATTTAAAGTGCTAATAATCCTTAGCACCAGCTGGTTATATTATGTATTATTTTCTCATTTTATACAGCGTGCATTATAGTATTATAATGCTATATGATTTAATCATATTTTTTTTCTTTATAATTATACTTAATCCATATAATACGACTGTTATAATTATATTAACTGCTGATATGATATATGGTTATATATTATAATTGTTATCGTTTTGCTACCGATCTATTAAGACATCTGCATATTATATTGAAACTATCGCCCATAATCAAGTACCAATACACAGTATATTTTAAAATAACAAATAATATACCTACATACTTATAACCTATTACTTAATAACTAACGTGTCGTACGATAAAACCTACGCAAATACGGATATACAGTATAAGATACTCATTGTAATAATAAGTATATAAGTATTAAATAAGATGATAAATCGCACGATGTAAGTATGATTGTTATATTACAAACATTTTATATTTTATTGCAAATAAAATTGCATAGAAAAAGAGGGGAACCTTGAATATTTGCGGAACGAACATATAATGTATATTTATTTCATTATTTATATAATATAAATTAGGTATACCTATACACAATCACTATATGAGATCAGTCAATTTTAGTTTATATAGAAGTGCAATATATAAATATATTTGATATAGTTTGATACGTAAAAAAGCTATCCTAGGATAATGAGGACGGGTGCAGCCACTGTTGTTGTTGAGAAGTTGGGAAGGTAGGATATAGAAGAGAAATTACTATAATTGCTTATTAAAAACGATTCTGAGCCGATTTCAGTTTATAATTTTGCTTTTTCAACAATACAATATATGGTATTATGTCATATTATGGTAAAATGATAAAAACAATGTGCGTTTACATGACAACAATGATTGTTTAAAAAATATTAAAATAATAAAACCTCAATAATAACAAAAAATAAATAAAAACGGTTTCCACTGATAACCTTATTTCAAATCGTTCAATCTTTTTTAACCTAAAGAACCAGGTTTTCCTATTTATCTCGAATACTAATGGAAATTTCAAAAAAATACCTCTTTTCCAGAGAACACCATCCAGAGAACATTTCCTTTCAGAAAAGGCTTTTTGGTAGAAAAAAATGTTTGCATAAAAAAAAAAATATAATAACAAATATCATTGTAAAACTAATACATTCATCGCTCCGCTCAGAATCTAAAAACAAAATTAATTATTCATAATATGCGTATGCAATTCATATACCCTAACAGCACGAGGATGTATATATGGGCTGTAAATTAGATCCCTACAATCATCCTGTATGTATCCTATGATTTTAGTAAAACCATGCGCTATATATCCCAGGACTTCCCAAAGCATCCATAGAACATCCTTCAATGATCCTCATGTCCAAAATTTTGCTTATAAAAACCTTCGGAATGTCCCACATAGGATTAAGAATATTGATTCTCATCGCATCCTATTCGTAAACTATAAATATCCAGCTAGTAACCTGGGTGCTTCCTATATATATCCAGTTAATTGCCTGAGTTAGTCCCAAGTATTTTCATTAAATTCATAGAATACAATAAAATTTAAATTATTCGTCTATAATTGAAAATATAGTTCACATAATGTATTTTATAACAGAATAATTTTTAGGTTTTCAATAAAATAAAATAAATCAATTAATAGAAAAAAAACAACACAAGAGCTTTATTAATTGAAATGTTACAAAACAATTATTATTTATCGCGTATTTTTAATTTATTTGTTTTAAAACGATTTCAAAATTCATCATTTGGCATATCGTTAAAGCGTTCTGAGGTAAGCCTGATTTACTATTATGTTGCTTCTTTTTTTTCGCACATTCGTAGTCGCAATCTATATCAGTTTCTTTTTCTGCTCTCTTCATATCAAATTTGCAATTATCAAATTGATCTATGAAACATAATTAAATATTTTATTTCATATTATTTATGCAATTTTTTTGTTATTATTAAAAAGTATTTTTATATATGAATGAGTCAATAATAGATATAATTCGACTATAATATATTTACATAACCTAGAAAAAAAAATTACTTATTGTAGTTTTTTTGTAATTTGTACGAAATTAATTTGTTATTAATTCATTTTATTTTATAATACCTATATAAAATAGTATTATATATTTATATACAATGTAGTGATTGCACCCGTCCTCATAATCCTAGGACGTTTTTTTTCAATTACTTATTTTATTTGTCGCATGTAATTTTCAAATCAAAACGAACTAATACTATCCAAACGTCCGTGTAATTCTACATCATTAGCAATATTAATCCAGTATATTATGAGAGATATAGAGTGTTGGCCATAAATAATATTGAAATAAGTAACAAAATATTTCAATAATTCTCTAGCACAATTCAATGTTTCACAAAACTGTTATAGCTACATGTTATGATAAAAAATTAAGGTATATTTTAGATAATAAAAATGGTTTTAAAACAACTGCAGGTCCCGTATACATTAAGAATTGTCTAAAATCAATATCTTTCCATACTTTAAAGTTTATTAAAAACTTATTTTTTACTAAAACCAGTCAAATTCAAATTTGTTTAATTATTTAATTAATTATTAATTTACTCACATTTTACTGAGGGGGGAGGCAAACAAAATTCTAGGGACATTCAATACATTCAGGGATATTCGTAATTGCTATGCAAATAAAGCCGACGACCGTGGTCTTCCTTTGCCTTTTGAACCCGTTTGCCTCCTTTTATTTCCGGTTTTTTCCATTTGTTGATTAAAATCATAGGAAAATCGAAAAAATTACCTTCCTAAAAGTACCTCCCCAGTCAGATTTTCTTTTAGAAAAGTTGAATAAAAAATACAATAAAAAATCGGAGCAAGATTTCTGGTAGAAAAGTTACGCACAGATAAAAAAAAAAAGAATAAACATCTTTTTAAAGCCATTATAAGCCTCTTCCCTCCACTCAGAATCTAAAAACTCAATTCCAATCTACCATATATAAATATTAAAATGAGAATCTTTGATGCCAATTATATCGGAAACCGCATTCATCCGATAGTCACGATTTTTTTTTTTTAATCAAAAGAGAAATTATATAGATATGGTATTATAATAATAATAATAATAATAATAATAATAATAATAATTTTAATTTTGAATGGTCAACAAAATTAAAATTGGCAACTCTGGGTGGGATATAACTGGTATAATGGTATATATATAAAATGGCTATCTTGGATTTTCGATAAATGATTTTTTTTATTTTTCGTTTTAATAAAAATATAAAATAGAGGAATACTAAAACGCAGGATCTAGAAACTATTTTATTACAAGAATAAAAAACTTAAAAATATTTAATAGAGCACAAATTATTTCCGGTGTCAAATCTTTATATTACAAATTCGTATTATATATTTGGTTTTAGGGAAGAAAAGATTAAGGATAATTTTGTGTAGTTTTCAATACAATAGCAAATATAATTTTGAAAATTACTAAATTGCATGATATATTATTATATGGCATGCCTTTTTTTCACCAAAAAGTACATTATAATAATTAATATATAGTAACTTGAAACATTTGAAACAAGAGTAAAAATTATAAAAGACACAATTATAAATAAAATAATTTCAAAAATTAACTTAAGCTTTTCTTGCTCGGAGATCAAAAAAAAATATATATATATTATAATTAAACACTTGAAAAATCAATGGTACAATAATAATGTCACTATGAACACGCGTTATACAACATATTTATCAGGGAAAAAAAAAATTCACCTTCAAATATATTTGCTATCTAATGGCATTTCATTATATAAATATAATTCCTGTATTATAAATCCGCTACTGCAAAAAACCAATGTCAGTATATTAAATATTGTAATAGTGTTACGGGTATGTGTATATTAGGTATTTATTTAATATTTTAATATGATGGCAAATGTTTGTATATAGATAAAATTGAACACGGAGTATGATATAGGTACTCGAAAGAGATTATTTTTCGTAATTGCCTATAGGTATATAGGTACCTATAATCACACAGTTCGACGTCCTACAGAGAACTTCGAAGAACTCCAAAAAAAAAAAAAAAATTATAATAATAATAATCTAAATAAATAATTCCTGCAAACATAATTGTGTATACATATAATACTATAATATCTTGATACTAAGTAATTGCAGTATATAATATCAGAAAATTGATTTACAAATATATAAAACATAGCTTAGCTGTGCAATTTATTGTCGCTCTCAGCACCTATTATAAATCTTTAAATAAATATATACATAGGTACTGCACCTACATATTTGCAGTTTTCACTTGTTCTTGTCACGGTGTCAGTTTTAATAGCATACCTAATTTATACTTTTGATATGTACTCGTATATATTTATGTATATATGTGTACGCTAACTGGATTACCCGGCTTCCGCTGTGAACAGTTTTGTAACTCGATTTTATATTCTGAGTGGAACGAAGAAGCTTATAGTTTTACATAGATGTTTATTTATTAATTTTTATTTTTTTTTTTATCTGTGCGCAACTTTTATGCTGGAAGACTTGCTCAGATTTTTAAATTATAGGTATTAGTAAATTGTATTACGGTTTTTTTTTTTTTTTTTTTGATAGCAATTTTTCTGAAAAGAAAATTTACTGAGAAGGTACTTTAGAGAGGTCATTTTCGATTTTCCTAAATGATTTCCAGCAAATGTAAAAAACCGGGATAAAACATGGCAAAACCAGGAAAAACTTGGGGAAAATGGGAAAATTTGGTACAACATTAAACAAATATTATTAAAGAAAATATAATAAAATCTGTTTAATTATTTTACTATAAAACGACATATATTGTTAACAAAGTATCATTATAAACTGAACTCTGCTCAGAATCGTTTTTTTTTTGTAAGCATTGTTTTAATGTTGTTTACAGGTTAGATTAGGATACATTAAATTATCCATAACAGTGGCTTCACCCGTTCCCATTATACGGATATAATAACTATACTTTCTTCTTACTTACTTCTTTAATATCAATTATTTACCAAACAAAATAATTAAACTGTACAGTTCTGTGGGTATTTTTCGGTCTACTCTCAATAAATTTATAATGAAATAACGAAATTTAGTCGAAAAGTGGAACACACAAACAATATACAATAAACTATATTGTGTATATACATATGTAACTGTCAACAACCCATCCTAACGCCACTACATTAAGATAGTATAATAATGTACCTATACTATTATAATTTTTTTTATATATAAATTAACAGAAATCCATATTACAATTTATATATTTTGGACTTGTGGGCTTATAGCTGTAACTGTAACTGTCCTGACTCTACATTGCCCGTGTGTTGTAACAACCTAACCTATATAAACCAATCAGGAACACTCATATACGTTAAGAAATAACTTTTCAATTTTTATACTTTTTACCCTTTTTAACATTCTTAGGTGTTAAATTTTGAAAAATATTTTCTTAGCGGATCCCTACATCATAAAACGAAACTACTGACCAAATTTCATATTCATAACTTCAGCGGTTCCGACTAAACGATAATGAATCAGTCAGTCAGTTAGGACTACTGTATGTTATTTTTATATATAAATAAACTTTGCATAACTAACAGGCTAAAGAAAAAATAGACGCGTTTGAGAAATTCAATAAAATGTGTTCACCTACTCAGGGCAAATAACTTGATTTCTAACGAACTTAGCAAGTATAGCGAGAATAACGTTAAGGGGCTAATAAATATGGTACGGCCATTCGATCTCTATGAATATTTTATAATCGGGCACTCCTCTGAGGGAGTTAAATAACAAACAACAAAGTAAATTAGTTTAGGGATTCCAGATTTGTTTATCTTAAATACTGAGCATTTCAAATCATAATTAAAACTGGCAGATGGTACAACAAACAATAGAGGGGAGAGGGTGATAAAACTAGGCCAAAAATAGTCTGTAACTCAAAAGTTATCCAATCAAATTGACTAATTTATTTTCAGATAATTTTTTTATACCTAAAATAACGTTGATACCCAAATGGCATGCATTAAAATAGTTAAAAATTGAATTAGTTACTTCGTAATTTGTCTAAAGAGATATTATACTAAAGATTCGTGATATCATACGGCAGCTATTAGCGGCTGCTGCTAGCCGTGCTAATGCTAGCCGATGTAGTAAACAAAGAAACGAAAAAGTTTTTATCTTATTAATAATTATAATGATAAATCTATATTTATTTAATGTAAATATATTTTGAAGATATAACTATTTGACATACCTAGATATAATTCTCAATAGACTATAAATATTATAAAGCATGAACTACGAATGTATAAATATAAGAACTACGAGTATGTACAATAATTCGAGATAGCGGATGTCATTTTATTGATAATATCAATTAATTCATTAATTATATCACCAATACTGTATTGTATTAATATAAGAGCTCAACATCATGATGCAACATCGTGTCGTTTACTTGTTAAATTTACAAAAAAACTAAACTAAAGACACCCTGTATATGTAACCTAGGATATTTCGGCAAAGCCGTTTCAAGAAGTAAGTTATTTCGGCGCGAATTTTAATTTGACAAATGTGTACTAGGTACCTATTTTACAAGTTGTCACTATCATTCGTTATTAAATTTAACTTAATAAAATAATATAAACAATACTTTACAAAGAAAGTATAAATATTGAAAAATATTTCAAATATAATCACAATTTTAAATAATATTGTATATCATCATCCATAATTAAAATAACAGTGTGGATTTTATGGTGCCAACTGCGAAAATCGTGGAATAGAATGTTGATAAGTACCAAATAATCGTAAAACTAAATTTGCGAGAGGTCAAATCGTTTACGGCCGGGTCATTATCGAACAATACCTACCCATATATGATAAGGTCAATAAGAGTCCGAAAAACGATTATATTTATGAATACCTATACGCATATTATTTAAATACTCTACTAACTATATATAATAAAAATAATAATAACCGTTGTTCTGGATTCCAGAGTCTAGAAAGGTAATCAAAAAAGACCATATGACTGTATAGTGATGCCTTTAAAAACAACAGAATATTCTACAAAATTAAAGTCTTATTTGATACTATACGTCATTTAAATACAATCATTCTTTCACAAAGTATTCAAAAAAAATGTTTTGGCAATTTAAGAAACAATAAGCAGCTCTAAAATGTTACATTAGGTACCAACTATTATATTTGTCACCCATATTTTTGGGGGTGAAACGACTACTTATTTTTGATTTTAAAATGGCAACCAATATTTAAAAATTCCTTAGGTGGATGAAATGTTATAGTTTAAATACATGTTGATATTGATATTTTTGATTTTCGTCAACTCGTTAGTGAGAAATTCAACTTTTAAGTTTAAGTAAGGGGTGAGTAGTGGAACATTATATCCAAACGCTGTACACCATGCCACCTGCAAACAAATTAATTTTATTTATTTTTCTAATTTATTTTAGTAATTCTCAGTAATATATTCATATGTAACTATAAATGGTAGTATAAACAATACACATTATTTATATTGCAGTTTATATTATGACCACAAGTAAATAACTATCTGTGAAACGAATAGGTATACTTACCATATGTCCCACAACACTCTCAATTCCTTATATCTACACCGTTATACAACATACATCTCTCTTTCTCTGGGTCTGACACGCGTGGCTTTTTCCCTTTGAGGAACCCATTGTTCAAGACTTAAAGTATAATGAGACCGATTATATTGTATGATTCGGAGTGTTGGATGGTTGATAAAAAAAATAGAACAATGATTAAATATAGTGAAGATGAGAATGTTTAGGTGAGGATGAGTGGAATGACGAGAAAATATAGGATCAGGAACGAGTACATATTATGAAAGATAGCATAATTGTGTGAATTCGATAGAATTGAGTAGTTTGGGCAGGAAAGAAGAATCGGAAGCAGTAATAATGGTAATGAAAATAGACGCAGGGGAAGATGGGAAGAAGAAGATCTAAAAATAGGGGGTTAAATACGATTGAGAATGATACAAGGACAGCCGATGTATGCGAGGATATGTGGGAAATCGGGACAAAGTAGAAATTGAGGACGAGCGTGGTCGATTCCAGAATTCAGATAAAGGGAATAAAGGCGAAGGAAAATAAAAATAAGATATTATGGTATGAAGGGTACATGATATTTCAAAATAAATGTTGGAGTAAAAATTGTTATAATAGTTACCACCATCGGAAAATAATATAATTCGTCTAAAGAATAAGCGAAAGCAAGTGAAAGTATATGTATAGAGAAAGTACAGCTTTCACTCCATATGTATACCTACTAATACCTACTATATTACCTATATGTATACTATTTTATTTTCGACAAATGGCTTTTTTTTGGTAACTGTAGTTTTTAATCTATATCTAATAATATTTATGTGCACCTATATATAATACCAATATTATATATGTCTATTTATTTATAAAGATAAATTATAACCGAAAGTAAAAAAGCAATAAGGGGGGAGAGGGTTGGTGTAACAATACCCAAAACCCCTCTTGGCCAAGTTTAATTAATTTAATATGACTAGAAAATTATTTTAAACATTTTTATGATTTTTTTTTACTACGGATTTATAACAATACATTTATAAAGTATATAACTTTTGAATATATTTTATGATTGACTTGTAATAAAATATATTATTGAATTTATTTCATTTGTATACAATAATGTCAATTTTTTTTTAGTTTGAAGATCATACTGGCGCTTTGGTGTATACGTGTACATATATATAATAAAAAATGATGTAATACATTCCTAGGGCCGTATAATCGACGACAAGTGGTAACCACTTAAACCACATTATAAAGGTTTACTAAAAAAATCAGTGGCATCGTTTCAAGTTTTTTTTTTCACACTATATGCAAATAATTTCAAAATCAATAGAAAAAATAAACTTGACAATATATTATAACCTTTTATTTCCAATAGTCACGACTATTCGACAATTAAAAAAATAATTTAAAACTGCACACACTATCGTTGCAATTCACTTCAATATAATAACATTTTTACTCGAAATGTGTTTTAAATTCTCAACTCAGCAGGAATTTGTTGGTTTTACTGTGCTATATGTTTTTTTTTATTTTTTTTTTCTGTCTATAAACTACTCTTCTACTAGAAATCTTAGTTCAATTAAATAAATGAGACAAGAAAACTTTTTTGTTTCATTTCGGAACTATATGGTTAGCGTTTATGATTTTCCAAGCAGATTTTATAATAATTGGGAAAACTCAGAAAAAAAAAAACATAAAAGAAAAACTGAACAACTTACGATGTTAACGATTTCATTATTTAAAACTATTTGGTTATGTTTTTTTATTAGAAAGGTTGACCATATTTGCCTCATTTTGTGTAAATACATACATAGCTTCTGAATACGATAACATTTAAAAATTGCATACAAACAGATAAATTTTAAAATAACTCAAAAAACATTAGAATGTTTTACCACTTATATATTTAGATAACATTCGGTGTAAAAATTAAGTTTTTGTTTGATATTTTTTATGTGAATTATATAAAATAAAAAGAAGAGCTGATACATTGGAAACAGGTACGCCACTGTTATAAATCGAACATTGGGAAGGCAGGTTACATAAAATCCTGTATTTAATTTATGTCTATAAGCGACGACAAACCATTGCTAAAAAAAAACAATTCAGAACGAAGTTCGGTTATAAATGCTTTGAAATGCCGTTATATTTACGGTTATCGTCAAAATTTAATATTAAAACTCTTATGAAAAAAATAAAAATACTATATTTACTCAATTTTTTTTTTTACTACGATGTTAAATTTAAAGCATTTTCGTTTGGTCAAACAACTTTATCCATAGAATACCTACAAAAAAAAATTACGTAAAAAATACATATTATTAAAATCGATTATAGATACTGCAACACGCATGCAGTATTTATATATTATACTTTCGTCGTATAAATTCAAGTTATAATATCAATTTTCTGCAAATACAAACTGCATAATCTGTAATATAAAAAAAGTTTCAATTAAAAAAATAAAACCCGATATCGTGTAAATACATTTTTCATATTATCTACAGGTCATTAACGTGACACGTCCATCATTGTTAATTGCGATTCATAAAAATCATAACTATGGGTATGATGTACCTATAATTTTATATTATTATAACACACCGGTGTTTTGGAGTGTTTAAGTGGGACGTTTTTTGTGATTTTAACATCATCATCATCATCATGACTATACAAATTCACCGTGATGAATATTATTAATATTAATTATTTGAATGTTTCACACGATTTCGTGTCTATGTGTAGTTGTAGTTGCGTTTCTTTATTATAGGTACACGTCGTCGCATAAATTATACACTTGTTATGTAATAGGTTTAATATTTTACATATTCAAATTAATTTTACGAGTTTAAACGAGTAACTGCCAATTTTGGAATCACCTATATTATATTAGATAATTCGAAATCAAACAATGTATGCAACACAATGATAGTATAATTTTAAGACAACCGTAATTTTTTATATTTTCTATGTTAGATTTCTTGAAAATTGTCAACATTCTTTTATTTTTTTTTTAAACGTCTAGTTTTGGACGAACGAACACGGTAAATTATACTTTTACTTTTAAGAGTATCGATATAACATGCAAATATTATTATTTTCTTTCGATTTATATAATAACCGAGACAATACATACAATACATTCTAACAATACACACATGGAACTTATACACATAATTATCAATTGTTTAATACATAATATAATGTATAGATAACCCAATATCTTATTATAAATGCATAAAGGGTATAAAAAAACATTATCAATTTTAAAAAATATCGATATCTATGGAGAAATCGTTTATATATTTTCCCTAGTGGCTAATTAATAATCATTTAAATATATTCATATTTTATTTTTTTCATCACCATTAGATCATTTATCATCATCATATGATCTCAAGACTTCCTATACCTACGTAGTCTATCAATAGACTCTTGGGTAAGAATAATTGTAGTGGTCACTACTCACTATCACTGCATGCAGTTCTCTAATAATAATCTCGGTCTTGGATATTTCGCTAGAATTCTGTCACTTCCAACCTCTTTATAAACTATAAATTATAATCCTTATGAACCTTGCAGTCCATTCACCATGTATTTCGGCAATTACCTCTTTATCCCTCTAACCTCCATCGAATTGCTGCTCTAATAGTTACTTTCCTTATGTTTCGTCTTATTGCTTGGCGTCGTCTTTGTCTCTTTACATAACTTGCCATATTTTATTATAACACCCAAAAGGGCATATTGATTGATCTATACACAATATACAATATACACATACAATTAATTTGATTTGTTCAAATAAATACATACTAATATTATTATTATTATTACTATTCATATACCTAATTAATATTGGCAAATTTTCCCCGAAAATAGAGAATGGCGCACTATATTGTGTTTATTGTAAATAGTATATACTATATACAATAATAATATATTTTTTCCTCGATATTTTTGAGTACTTTTAGCGGCTCCTTCCAAGTCAAATAAGCTCAATCTCGAATATTAAAATCGTTAATAAATGGATTGGATTGATACATTTTTGGTTGAATTCCACTGGAGGCGTTTAAAATCTGACAACTAAACCCTCGACAAGGTCAAAACACCAATAGTAAATATCCTGTTAGTTAAATGCTTAAATTTAATATTTTCAATATTTTCAAAAGGAAATGCAGAGTTTTATATACCCTTCAGACTTATCAAATAATCAAAGTAACGGGAACAAAATAAAATATTAAAACGACAACAATTCGACTAGAAGAAACTTTATCTCAAGTTCTGCTGCTCACGAGCGTTTTAGATTTAGAACATAGCAAAAAAATGGGTTTACTTTAAGATGTGATTTTTTATTTTTATGTATGTAAACAACTTTTCTACCAAACATGTAGTTGTAATGTAGTCTTTTTTTTTTTATATATATATACGTGAAAATTCTACAAATTGTGGCATTTCAAAACTTGTGTAACCGAGCTTCGCAAAGAACTGTTTTTTTTTTAACAATAATGTTTTTCTTTGAATACAGATATACATTAAATAAATAAAGGTATCCTATACTTACTTTCCCAACATTCCAATTATAACAGTATCCCACCACTCAGCAGTATCAACTCTTTTGTTGTTTGTATACATACTTTTTAAAGACAATTTTTAACCTTCGATTCCTCTAAAATCTTATCTCTGCAAAGTAGATTCTTCTTCTCTTTTACTTCAACTATCTATAAAATTCTCCCCCGTCAAACCCGCTCTTCTCCGCCGTTCATACATTCGTAGTCTTCTTTTAATTATTTTCCAAACTTTTCTATTTTTCGACTTATGTGTGCTGCTAACCCGTAGACCCTTCATTTAACCTGTAGTTCTTTTTTTTTGCTTTGCTTAATTTTATGACGCTTGTATTTTTTGGTCTTGTCCTGTATATATTGCTAAATAAATAAATAAATTCATAAAAAATATTTTAGTGATTGATTTTATTAGAATAATTTTATCATCACAATTATACGTCTTATACACAATATTATACCGCTACAGTTATGCAAAAAGTGACCTAGTGTAAAAAATAATCTAGTATAAAAAAATATGCTTAAATACCTTATTTCATCTCTTATACATATATGTACGAAAAACGTGTCCAAATAGTATATCGTTTAGGAACCATTTAATACATAATATTTGATTATGATCAAAATAGTACAAAAATTAAATCCTAATTTTAAATTTAAAAAAATAATTATTTATTTTAAATTTTTAAATAATTTAGTAACTTTTCGCATGGTGGTAACGATATACACCAATATTTATAAGAATGGGACACGGGACAAACCGCAGACTAATAACCGTCATAGAAAGTGATGCGGTTATAAGCTCTCTGCTGATATACTTGTCACTTTTGCGGACTATACGATATATGACAATATAACGTGTACCTATTTTATACAAACACCGACTTCTGTGTATATATGGCTATACAATATAGTGTCTACTTATAATCTTGTATGAGTGGCGCGTGCAGTGATTACTACGATAAACAACGCGCGTGCGATTACTGATTAGTGTGTGTTCGCACAATATTTGCAGATATTGTGTTTACCGACGTAAACATAATAATATGTTCTATACGTACCTACACACATGGCCACCTTATAATATATATGGGCTCATTACGTCTGACATTACTTCTATCAGAGCCGTAACTAGAGAGGGGCGAGGATTTATACCCGGGCGGAACATTTTCAGAGGCGTATTTGTTTTTAATATTTATTTACTGATAGATAATTCTGTAATTTAGTATCTCAGTGAACGTTATTGGAGAGCGTGTACATTTTACATTTTACAAATAAAAAGGTCTGAAGAGGCGTATAGTAATATTTTTAACTCTGAACTATTTATATAGTTCCGCCACCAATTGCACTATATTTTATCACGAATATAAGATTACAACACATTCGATTATATGAAATTTTATCAAATACATTTATTTGAAAGGAATATGGTAAGTATTTCATTATAGAGTTCAAGTTTTACCTATGCACGTATCTAGTGGTAAAGATCTTGGAACTCTACATAAGCCGATATTTTTAAATATAAATCAGCACTTACTTTGATATGGATAGTCTGCGGTCAATTGTAGACTAAAAGTTTTTCATTGTTTTGATTTATGAAACTCACGCCCTTACAAAATTGACATTATAAAGTAAAGTCAAATCAGTCCAGAAGCAAATTTTTATCTGGGATAATATCCTACTATATTTTTACTGGGTGCAAATACATTTTAGAATATTTTAATTTAGGTTTAATATTTTAGAGTATATTGTTAATTCAACAACAATATTCTCTTAAAATTCCACCCCTTAGTCAAATATATATTTGCTGGACATTGTCTTTTCTAAGCATATAGAATATATTATTAGAACAATAAATAGTAGTTAAAAAATTGACAATTTGTCTTGTTTAGTTTTAACGACTTGTTCACGTATTTTTTTTAGTGGAACAAGTTGAGCAGAATAAGAAAGTATTTGGAACGTGTATCATCACCTTTGTGAGTAAGTATTTTCAGATCCTTTTCATAAGCACTGCCATTTTCGAATTTCAATACCAATCCTTGACAGTATTATATACTTTTTTTATGTTAACATTTTGTACAACCTTCAAGACACGAGAAAATAAAATTTTTCTACTCACATGCCAAAGAAAAGTTTTTCCAGTACGTGCATTAACAAATTATGATCAAATATAATTTTCGTTGACACAAAATTACGTATTATTTTTTGTATAATTTTTTACAGAAAAAACAACTTTTATACAACTTTCTAAACATAAGATATTGTATGATAGAAATCAGATACTTAACATGCATGTAAGATAAAAATCTTACATGCATGTTAAGTATAACTGTGGTAAATTTTTACCTTACACGAGTGGTCACGGGTTATAGAAATAAATTCACAAATATCATATTTCCAAGTACGAACGTTGCACCTTTATTACCAATCTAATGATAATAGTAAATATTAGTACCTGCATTAATCATATATGAAAAATATTAAAAATATTACCAGAGATGCGAATTTTCCTAGTTTTATGAGCTAAAAATTAAATGATTGTTTTCTTTTTATGCCATTAAATTATGAAAAATAAACAGACACGGGGCCCCTCTGATCATATAATTTGCACGAAATACCCTCCCTTTAGCGCCATCACTGGTTATTATTTTATACTGAAAAATTGAGATTATATAATCCCAATTTATTATCAGCGCGAATTCGTTTGTTCCACTCAATTGAACGCCACCGCAGCGTTCACATAATATAATAACTTAAAAGTATTCTGGTATCCGTTTCAGTACCTATAGGATACATTTCCCATTTGTGATCAGTGTAAAATATAAACTGTGCACAAGTTGATGTCTTATTGTATTACTCTTGTAGTCGTTAAGATATCAATGTATTTATGAAGCGTTGTCTCAGTGGTCTTACACGGCACTCGAAAACTATTCGGACGATCGGTTTCGCGTGTTGAGCATTGAATAGTGTACAAAATTTTTACTTCGTATAATGAGTTATAAAAATAAATTTGATAATACTAGTGCAGGAGAAACGCGTTTTTCAAGCATTCACATAAGAAAAGCTGTGCTTTCTTTTGTTTGGATGATTGTACAAAATTTGTTTGTCCGTACAAATTGTACATAATACTGTGTCAACGAAAATTATATCTAATCGAAATTGGACAAAGCACCAATAAAATAACGTTCAAATACTTAAAAATTAGAAGTAATTAATACTAATATATCTGAACATTTTTACTAAAATACTTTATGACACTGCCTATTTCTACTAACGAGTATAAAATATATTTGATGTTTTTCAGCTGGATTGCCGATGCGAAAAGTTATAACATTGACTAAATCACCTATACATTATATTATGTTCAGTAAAGAAAAAAAAAAGAAAAATTGTTGTAAAGTGATACTTTCAGAACCATCGCAACTAAAATAATGGTACCGGAAACAAAATATTATAATGTATATATTACAAACGTTATACGAGTATATTATGAAAAAAGGACGGGCATACTTTACACGTGGGTGCAGCCACTGTTGTTGGTGAAAAATTGGTAAGGCAGATTACAGACGGGAATTTAATGTATATCTGTAAGCAAAGATAAACCATTGCTAACGAAAAAACGATTTTGAGCCGAGTACAGTTTATAATGTTGCTTTGTCAACAATAAAATATATGGTATTATGTCATATTATAGTAAAAAGATAAAAACAATGTGCGTTTTCATGCCAACAATGATTGTTTAAAAAAGATTAAAATAATAAAAACTTAATAATAACAAAAACAAATAATAACGGTTGCCAATGACAACCTTGTTTTTAATCTTTCAAATCCTTAACTTGTGGATCGAGGTTTTCCTCATTATCTCGAATATTAATGAGAGTTTCAAAAAATGATCTCTTTGAAGTAACACCCAGAGAAAATGTCCTTTCAGAAAAGGTGTTATACTTGATAAGTATACTTTTCTCAAAAGTTTTTTCAGCAAATGTGAAAAACCGGGATAAACGTAGGAAATCTGAGAAAATCTGTACAATATTGAACAAATATTATTAAAGAAAATATATATAGCCTATTTAATTATTTTACTATAAAATAACATATATATCGTTGACAAAGCATCACTATCAATTGAACTCCGCTTGGAATCGTTTTTTTGGAAGCAACGGTTTATTGATGCTTACAGGTGTACATTATAAATTATCTATAACAGTGGCTGCACCCATCCCCATTATCCTGGGACGTCTTTTTATATTTATATTTCAGGAAGTAAGTAGGTTTTTTTTTCTTTGGAACGTGTCTTTTGTAATCTGCATCATATTATTTCTTGAATATATTTTCCATTGCTTGTTATAACACTTCCTAAATATTTATATATTCAAAAACTACTGTATAATTGTTTAAAGTATAAAGATAAATCAATAGTTTACCAATTATTTTGGATTAAAAAAAAAAAATACTGGCTAGATATCTATAATCATTACTTCATCAATAACCAAACATCGTAATCGTATTTTATTTTATTAATCCGGTTTTATCTCGTATATTATATTGTTTCAGTTATAGAAATGTATAATACTAGGTATCTGTTAGCATTTTCCATATGTGTGTAGTGTGCACTGTCGCGCCTATACTAGGCAACTGATATTGTTCGATAAATTGCTCAGTGCAGTCGAATCACGAATCACGTGCAACATAATTTTTACAATTAATAATTATTTTCTCTTTGACAACAATTTACGCTACCTTTCAAGTCTTTATAGTTAATTATAATACTATTAAATATATTTGATAATAATAGTAATATAGTATTTTATGTATTATCAATTCAAAGTATATAAATTAAAAACCACGCATTCAAGATAGGCACCTTTGACAATAAAAGATATGGCGTACGAGTTTGAGGAGTTCGTGCAATTATCATTGCACTCGGAGTAAGAAATTGATAGAGTGTGCGCACGTGAAACATAAAAACCAGCACTAAATGTTTACCAATATCCCATATGGAACATACAATTGTGCACCGGTACCATCTGGTGAAGTCGTGTGTAAAACGCTATATATTATATCGGTGCAGACGTTTTCATTTCAAAGTTTGTAAAGTTAATAAAAAAAAAATAAAAACATACGGAATCGGATTTACTTACTAGCACAACGAACAGAATATAGAATGGCAAAATTTTAGGGGCGTCAAATTTGACACTCACAACACCCCCCCAGCTACAAATTTAAATCATTCTAATTCGGAAATGAAATTTGATTTTACATAATATTTTAACGGGTTTTTTTTTTTCAATTTTATTTCCTTGAATAACAATATAAAAATAATTGATTTTGTAATTTGCAGTTTTATGTTAAAATGTTCTAGCTTTAAATTTTAAATTCTTGACTTTTTAAGGCACCAACAGCAACGATATTCATAGATTATAATTTAAATTATTTTGGATATTATTTTCCTTTCGTCACCTACTTGTATATTAATTATTATCAATACCAAACATTGTTTTATGCCTGCCTACTTTATATATATTTTAAAACAATAATAGTGAATTAATAGTGTAATCAATAATATATTTATTGATGATTTCGTTTGTTTAAATAAAAAAAAATTAAAAAGGAAGGAAAATGAAGGGGATATGGATTTCTTTCCGTCTGTAAATGGCTAGTCGCTTAATCCGGCGTTGAAAACATATTTTTATTAAATTATTACATACGTTTAACGGATTAACATCTTGTGATAATTTTATTTATTTACTTTTTTAAATATTATACAGGTAGGTTAGGTATGTGTTTATTATTACTGAAGTGGTGTCATTGGACGATGATGCTTCTTCTAATCTATTCACAACCGTTTTGTTTTCCAAATTTATTTAATTATTTTTGTTATTTATAGTAGGATTTAGATTGTAAAACAAAATACGTACAACACATATTATAATATACTCGCGTGATCCATTTTATTTTTTAATTACTTTTAATTTTGTATACAATATTATAATAAATATAAATACACGTTGAACATTTTGATTTTTTTTTTTTTTTGAATTGTTATGTTTCGGTTTCTATTGCTCGCCCCGCGTTAACACATCTACATTTGTATATAATAATACAACATGTCCTGACTGATTGGCTGATTAATTCGTCATCGCACATCCCCAACCGCAGGACGGAAAGGGCTGAAATTCGGCATACTGTTATCTAGTGAAACCGCAGCTTAGGGAACCTGCTTTATTACCCGGCCCGTTTTAGATGACACGGGCCTCTCCGCGGCGCTAGATATTATAGCAGCGTATCGCGGATTTATCCGCGTCGTAAGACTAACACGTCCGAATTCTCGTGTAGCGGCGAGTGTCGGGGCTTCTCCACCGAGGTCGTTTCTGGCGAGAAAACGAGACTATATACCGACGCTCGTCGTATGGTGCGATGTTCTCTGCTGACCCACTTACCCCTGGCAACGGGGATTGTGTTAACAATGGCGAATCGGTAGTCCTCCCGGAGGCGTCCGGGTGGAATTAATAAGCGTCTGTTCGTCCATCTCTGGGTGTCGAATCACGTCCAACTCACGAGATCTATGGAGAGTAAGTCGGGAGATCCCTTAGCCCCGGTGCTGAACGGAGACCGCAGTGCCGACCGTGGACTTGATCTGCGGTCGGTGCCGTGCGGTTGGTTTCGACTGGGCTTACGAGTAACGCTGTATATAGTGGTTAATTAGCCGGGAGATATTCAACTGGCGGCTGCCACACCGTGAGCAGACGGAGCGACGAATTGGGTTTAACGCAAAGAAGGTCCGACGGCCGGCATTTTTAAGTCGAGGATTTCCACTGAAAGATGTTATAATGACGTGGCCGTCCGTTAAGAAAGGATTTTCGAAAATCCAACCCCTATAAGATGGTAAAATAGGGTTTCTTTTCGGGTGTGATTATCGGCTATAATAATTGTTTATTCGATTATTTTTCTTCATTCGCGGGTTCGATCTTGGCGACATCGGCGATTGTTATTCGAATGTAAAAAATAAAATCCAGTCATTGTTACTCACATTACTATCTGACGATCGTCAACGCTTTGCCGGGTCGACTAGCAGTGCAATAAAAAAAAAAAATGTTGTTTTTTTTTTTTTTTTTATTCCGGATTTTCGGTAAAAAACCGTGGGTTCTTTTTCGTCTCCGGACGTCCTTCGACGCTATATTCTACGATAATATGATATTATTATATCGACGGCGGCGGGTTACGACGACCGTCGGGTGTGCGTGCGGCGATCGTTTGTGACGCCGGCGACGGGCGCAGGGTAGGAGATCGACGGCGGCGGCGGTGTCGTCTTCGTATATTGTCGATGTGTGTGCGCGCGCGCGCGTGTGTGCTGTACGCGTACTATGCACGCGGGGACGTCCGCCGCAATTAATTTTTCATTACCCGCGGGGACGCGCGTGCGGCGGCCGTCGACGCGTGTCGTCCTCGCTTAAATAATATCGTGCGCACGTATAAAATGTGTGCATCGTACCGGTCAGGCGGCGGCGGCGCGCGCGTATAAATTATTCCGTTATCCGCGGACGCATGCGGCACGTCGCCGTTTCCGCCTTGGCGGCACGTCGCGTGCAGCCCGCCGCGAGTGTATTGGCCGCCGCGTTTCGCCGCCGTCATCAGAGCCGTCCGGCGTAGGCGGCCGCCGCGGGTACGCTCGCCGCGCCGCCACGCTGCACGCACGTACACGCGTCGTCCGGGCATCACGCACCCCGGCCACTCGTCACGCACTCCGACGGAAAATCGGACGGTCCCGAGAGTCGGCCGGGCGCGGCGGTACGATACGCGACCGCGACAACGACGTCGTAACGGCCGAAGTGGGCGCACGCGTTTCTTTTTATAGACTCCCGGAGTTTGCGGGGACGCCGCGGCCGCGTATTCGGTCTCGTCGTACGACAATTGTTGCGTTCGTCATCGCGATCGGTTGCGGTTTTCACACGGTCCGAAACGAGATGTCGGAGGGGAGGGGGCGGGTGGCAGAAATCGCATTGACGAGATAATACGAGTGTGTCCCGGATTTAAATACCCTAAAGACTATTACGGGAAATCGTCTAGAAAAATTAAATTTTCAGTCAAATAATTATGTAAATTATCGTTTGATTCACACACTCGTATTAGATCGTCAATTTCCCTCCCCCCCCCGAAATCTCGTTTCGGACCGTGTGAAAATCGCAACGAACTTTTAGATTCTGAGTGGAGAGCGAAGAACCTTATGACGGTTTTACATAGGTGTTCAGTGCGCAACTTTTCTACCAGAAATCTTGCTCAGATTTTTAAGTGTAGAAACTTTTCTGAAAGGAAATCTGACTGGAAAGGTACTTTAAGAATGTCTTTTTTATTGATTTTCCCGGTATTTTTCTCAATAATTGTGAAAAACCGAGAAAAAACGAATGTAAACGTATTTTTTTTCTTGAGCAATAGTTTATCGTTGCTTACAGGTATACATTAAATTACCTATAACAGTGGCTGCACTCGTCCTTGTTATCCTAGGACAGCTTTTTAAACATATATATGCATACAGATTATTCGTTTTTTGTTCAATAATTATTGTGCGCACACTGGTATGCAATAACTATTATTACTTATGTGAAAAGATACATCCGCTATCGCAATAGACTGATGTTTTTATCTCACCCATAAAATGAATAATATATCGCTTATCTATAGTTGGTATTGCCGGAAAGTTTCGGATAAACCAACTCACGTAAATAGCGATAAGGTTTTACTGTAACGCGCGCGCAGTGGCGGTTAATCAAGAAATATGGTTAATCGAGGTGCGGGTAATCGATAGGTGTGTTCTACTGTAGTTAAAAAAATGACTCGACAATTCTAAAAACCTGCTATACAAAAATGGAAAACATCGGAAATGCGAAATAAAAGTTTCACTTTTGAAGTATCAGTTACATGTAGCCATCATATCTATATATATATTTAACCAAGATTGTGTCTATATTACAGCGGTGTGGTTTTTTTTTTTTTTGTTGTTTTATCCCTGAGTTTTTTTCTAATGGATGGTTGGACTGGAACTTGTGAACTTGAATAGCATAACAAGTAATAACAAATAGCGGTTTATTACTGAAATTTGGACACTGTTATACGTCACTGTTACAATGATGTCGATAAAGGAATGGCGTGAAAACTGAGCAAACGAGTTTCTTAAACCTGCACCGTATTGCAGTGGACTGTTGAAAGAAGACGTTCAATCAAGGTTTTGAAGAATTACATCACGCGGCCAATAGCCGAATAGATTTGAGGATTAGATATCAGTCTATGAAACACGGTTAATTATAACTGTATTTATTATTTTGTTACATTATTGTATTTATGTTTTTCGTTTTTCGTTTTTCGTTTTTTTTATTTTTTTTTTTTTTTATGTATAACGTTTTGACATTATATTTTATATTATATGGTTTTATGTTTTTATTTGATTTGTACCTATATAATATATGGGCTTTATCAGCCGTACAAAAAAAAAAAACCCGCGAAACATATTGAAACCGTAAACGGCAGACCGTCAATTGTATTTTACCTGCAAGGTATCAACATAAATTCATAATATATAAGCTATACTGCAGATTTCTTTATATTCAATTGAACGCGATTCGGCGAGCGTTCGTATACATACAACGACATTATTGTCGTCGCAGCTGTTTTTTGTGATGATTCCGTAGCGGTTTTGTATATAGGGTGAATTTTTGTTTGCTATTGTACGTTTCGTTATACTCACGTTGTTCGGCATTATAGTCGTCGTCGGTCAGACAACAAAATAACGATCAAAAATGAAACACATACAGACGCAATTGGTAGGTACCTACTCGTTACATATTATTATAGTTTCGTAATAATACGGTATTGTAACAAAAACTACTGTTGAACGTCAATATTTATTATATTATCTAAAACACATTTGTCACGATCGCACATTTGCCTGCACATCATATAAAATTTGCAAACATACGTGTCAAAGAATAGATATAATTTTGAGTTTATAATACAATAGTCCTCTGTACCCAGGCATGAAGGACTTAAGTCAAATTTTGACTAATTTTCATACAATTTCGTTTAATGCAATTGGTTTCCCTTTATTTCTTCAGCTAAATCATATAATTGTATCATTAGGAATGCAGGTATATTAGTGTATTAGTTTATGTGCAAAGTATGTGTATTTTAAAAATTTAATTTGGTTTTATTGAAAACTATACGAATCGAATTTTTTCCTTCTTCCCCACTTGATATTATATTATGTAGGCGTCGTTATTGCTACAATATTGTCAAATCTTATATCTGATAGTTCTATTATACTATTATTAGACTTACGGGTTAACGCAGTGATAATATAAAATTGCATGTTTTCGAGTTAATTCAGAAAATAATTTATAGACGCATGCGCCTAATCAAAAACCGAACAAAAATATTATACCAAGAAGTATTATAATATATACCGTAAAAAAATTAGAATTCGTAAAATCGCCATCAGTATTTGTGTTGAATGTTTTTTTCTATAGGTTTAAATGAAAATTCTTCAATATTTCAATAAACTCACTCTATAAACTTTAATTTCCAGTACAAATGGCTATTACAATATGTGTGTTGAAATTGTTTTCTACCTCAAGGAAAAATTCTCAAATTGTTCAATAAAATCGTTAACTCAAGTGAAGGCGGATGCATCATAGTATTATTTTTACTATTATTATTATTCATGTTTAGCGTGGTGCCTAACACGAGAGTTTAATATTGTACGCACAGAAAAATAAAAAGGGGATGTGAAAACCTCTTCCGTCATTTCACCCGGCAACGGCACTATATATATACTATACTTCAACGGCTAAATGCTTTCTGAAAAGGAAAACCCTCGAAGATTATTTCCATTATCGAGTGCTCGTCAAAAACAAAAACGAAAGTCCTAAATAAAATCGTTTTCTCTATAGGTATTATATAATAATATAATATATGTATAGATATGAATACAAAAGAGTTTCATCTAAAAAACTACATACCTACTTATGACTATTTAAGTCGAACTATCTATAGGTATATTATACTTTTTCCACCATTATTTTATAGACCCTTTTTTTTTTTCGTAATGAGCACGTATTTCTAAAAATATAGTAATATAAAATTAATAATGATTACGCACACCATCACGCGAAACTCGAATTGTAACATTTTATGGATTTCAGATTCTGAGTGAAGCGAAACAGCTTATACGGTTCTACAAAGATGTTTGTATAATTATTTTTTTTCTGTAGACAATTTTTCTACCAGAAGACTTGCTATGATTCTTACGTCTAGCAACTTTTCTGAAAGAAAATCGGTGTGGAGAGGATTATCGATTTTCTCAAGAGTTTTCTCATCAAATGGAAAAAAAAACCGAAAAATACGGAGGAAAATGTAAGAAATGTAGGTATTAGTTTAAAATATTAGTCATTTTTTTCCTGCGGACAACTTTTCTACCAACAACTTTTCTACCAACAACTTTACTCCAACTTTTAATGATAAAAATTAGTCTAAAAAGAAATTTCAAGGTCGTGTTTTGATTTTTCCAGAGTTTTCTCAGCAAATATGAAAAACTGGGAAAAAAAGGAAAAACGTAGGAAAACAAGGGGAATCGGTACAATATTAAACAAATATTATTAAAAAAAATACATAGAGCCTAATTAATTATTGTACTACAATATGGCATACATATTGTTGACAAAGCGTCATTAACAAGTATCAACTGAACTCAATTCAGATCGTTTTTTCGTACGCAAAGGTTTATCCATAACAGTTTATTATAACATTAACGGGCGCAAATGTCATTATGTCGGGGTTGGGAAGTAAATTCTATTGGAGTCCGAAAGATTGAACAATAATGAAAGAAATTCAAGGGGAAAAGATACAGACATACTTCGCACGATGGGTGGACCACTGTTATAGGTGAGAAGTTAGAAAGGTGGAAGGGAATTTTAATGTATATCCGTACGCAACGATTAACCATTGCTAACGAAAAACGATTCAGAGCGGAGTTCGGTTAATAGTGTTGTTTTGTCAACAATAGTCAACAATATAATACATTGTTTTATACCTATAGTAAAATATACCTGCTTATTTATTAACATACCTTTCAAAAGGTGAAAGTTGACTAAAAATACATCAGTTGATGTATTTTTGCGAATTTCCAAGGAAACGTCTTGCTATGCAGCTATAACTAAGTCTATTATTTCCGTTAGTATTCTTATGTAACATAAACGTATCCGATAAGATATTGATTGTGAGCTATGATACAACCATATAGTCTGTAGAGTTTGACAAATTAATTTATGTTCAATTTTTTTTTAAATTAATTATTATGAAATTGATTTAAAATTTACTGTCAGAATTTATATACTCATATGTCAGCGGTCTATTGCCTTCCGCGGTCCGCTAATTGCGAAAAGTGCAGCCCTACACGACGTAGGTATAAGGAAAATTATTTATACGAGCAGGTATACCGCCTTTTGATCAGTTTTTCGCACACTGTACACAAAAATCCGTACGAAAATAATATTATGCCTATACACGGAACAATCATTACGCGAGTATTTTATTTCGGTAAACACTATAGTATTATACGATAAAAAAACGTAACATATTTATTGGTTAATCGTAAAAAATGTGAGGTTTTCGAATACAGCGCAATATGTTTCTGTTTTACTCGTAATATCCTATAATAGGAACAATAATGTTACAATATATACGTGTACGCGGGGTTGGGAATAATTTCCCTGCCTTAAAATTGCCTGCAACAACTTTATGAGTATTTATTTAGTAATTCAATATTGATGTGTATATTAATTTCACCCGAGTTACAATAAGGAAAAGCTTGCACTTTATCGAATACAAATTGCCTCTTATGGATCCGGCTTTTAAATTCCCTAGTGTTTGGTTAGGTATATATTGTTCTATGCTTAACCTGGATATACGTATATAAAGAGATAGTCTACGATTTATTCATGATTGTTATTTAATTGAAAATTCCGTAAAAAGTAAAAATGTACTCCACTGAACGTAGTCAACGGAGACATTTGCTGCTATCATTTAACGTATTAGATTCGGAACATAGCAAGGGATTTATTGGTTTTACAATGATTATGTTTTTGTTTATCATATTTTTTGTACTATATTTGTGTATGTAAGCAATTTTCGAATAGAAATCTTGCTCTGATGTATGAATGTGGCAGCTTTTCTGAAAGGAAATTTTATCTAGTTGGTGCATTAGAAGAAGAATTTTTTTTATTTTCAAAAATAATTGGGAAAAACCGGGAAAAAAAATTATAAAAACGGCAAATATTTACATCACGGTGTCACCGATTTCGTTGATTTTAATTTCTGCAAACTATGTTTTCTATCAGAAATATTGCTCCAATAGAAAAACGACAAGAGGTTAGGTTAGGTTAGGTTTATTGGATCTTGGATCTAGATGTTCACAAAGAAAGTAATTTTTGATTTTTGAAGCAGTTTATCAAAATAATTGGGAAAACCGGAAAAAGACAAAAAATGAAAAACGAACAAATTTACGGCGTACGATTTCATTAGGTATTTTAAATTTATGCGATTTTCTACCATAAATAGTGTTCCATTGTCGCGAATAGATATAAATTAAATAATTACATGTATCCTATACCTTCCAGACTTTGCAGCTACAAAAGTGTTACACCATTAGCAGTACCACATCTTTTTTTTTAATTGTCCTTATTAGAATTTTAATGGATAAACCAAAATAATGATATTTTATTGGAGATCACTTTTTCGTCTCTCAATTTTCATACTACAAGTAGACATCGGTTTCTATAGTACTAATAGATACATATCAGTAAATACTACTTATTATGTAATAACTATTACTTTTGTATGCAATCGCTGCAGTACGTATATAGTTAATTTAATACGTATACGAATCGAACATAATTTTGTCCACAAACTAATAATAATATGTCCTACCAAGACAGCATTTTAATGTTTAAAACAATTTTAAAGAAAACTGTTGATGGTACGTATTCAATAAACGCTAAAGATGTTGTCAACTTAGAAAAAACGTTACAATCAGCTTATACCGCTATGAACAAATCCGAAATAGAAAACAAAAGACTGAAATCCCAAAGTACAATTTTAGAAACTGAATGCGATGCGCTTCGGGTGATATTAAATGAAACAATAAGCAATCTTTGTTTAGAATTTGATCGTAGAGTCGAAAAATTTAGTTACATCCAGGAAGAAAAAAATAAGTTAAAGCATATATTTGATAACCAATTATTGAAAATACAAGAGGAATCTTCAAATCGTTATAATGAAGTTATAAATGCCGTAAACAAATTAAAAGAAGAAATTATAGTAAAGAATACAACAATATCTGATTTGACGAATGATATTTATTTGGCTAATGCAAAAACCAATGAAAAATATGCCAACGAACAAATAGTTCAAAAGAAATTGTCTATCGACTTAACAAATATAAACAATGAATTATACGAGGGCAAATGTTTAATATCCGGACACATCAGTCAAATGGAAGGACAATCTGACATTGATATAAAAAACTATCGACTATCCGAGTTAATCGGTATGTTTACTACATCGTTCATAAAACTCAAAGATAATGAAAAAAATAAAACAATAAATGGATATAATATTATTATGGACAATTTACGTAAAGAAAACGAACATTTTAAAATCTCCATAGAGAAATACAAACACCAATTGTTAAACGAAGCAAAACAATGTGTCGAACAAAAACAAAACGAATTATCATTGAAGAATAAATACGAACAAGCAACTGCTAAAATAGAAAAACTAACTTGTAAGACTATATCGTTAATATTTATTGGTATATTTTAATAATTCATAATGTTTTAGATTCTAAGCAAAGCGAGGAATGTATTGGTTTTACTATGTGTACGAATTTTTGGGTAGAACACGATTCCACACGTTCATTGTTGTTCGATATTACATTTTTTTCGATCTTTTTTTTCTACCCGACTTCGTATTGTATTCGAATGCGACGTTTCCATATTAGGAATACGATTCCGTACGGTTTTTTGTTTTTCTTGTAACACGATTCCGTGATTTCTACATTTATTTAACTTTTTACCACGACATTCCAAGTTCAAATTAATTAAAAACAAGTTAAGATAGGTCTTTTGATAAAGATAACAGTACACATTAAATTACACGAGTCTATATGATTTGATTAATATTTGTTATGATAAGGGTACCTAATAAGTAACATTATAACGATAATTTCATAATAACGAGATTATTTTCATAAATGACCCACAACAGTCAATAACTGTTGATAAATATACCAGTATAATCAGTTAAGTCAAAACTGTTAAAACGCCGCGCGTGGATACAGTTCAATGATAAGTTACATTAACTTCGAGTGCTATTCTATTCTTTATATTTTTACGGTGTTAAAATGTATATAGTTATAATAGCTAGGAATGGAGAATCAATCAGAGATAATAAAATCTGAAAAGAGCAACGCATACAAAACGTTGTACAACATTTTAATAATTATAAAATATCTAATTTCTATTAGCCTTATGTACCGAGGGAAAAAAATTATATTAAATTGTATATTATTTTACATTATTTCTTTTTCGTAATAAACGTAGAACCATACCGTTTATAATAAATTTGGCAACGTTGCACCAAATTTGTATTGTATTTCAATAAACAATAAATTATTCATGCGAAATTGTGTTAAAAAAAAAAAATTGTACAGAATCGTGTTCAAAAAAAAAGCGTGCGAAATCGTCCTCCCGAATTTGTCTACCTGTGAAACACTTTTTTACTAGAAATCTTGCTTTAGTCGAAAAATGACCTATTTGAAGCATTTTCAATGTTGTTGATCCCTTTGAAGAGGTTATTTTTTGAATTTAATTTAAATTTAATTTAATAGGAGGTTCATTAAAAGTCTTACATTGTGGTAAAAAAAAAGTTGAGTTAATGTAGTATTTTTTTTTATTGGGGAATTTAATTAACGAATTTTGACGAAAATCATTTAAGTAAAAAATTATGTGGAACAAATATAATTTTTCAATTTTTTATTTTGAACATATGTATATTGTCGATTTAAGAGTGATGATGAAGTCAGAATTAAGTTCAACTGACTAAGTTTCGAAATCATAGCTTTTTGAATTTCTGCTACTAAGCGGATATTATATGTTAAAAAACTCTATATTGTTTTTCTTAAAGATTATTTGTCTTGATCTAATGGCTATATATGTCCATTATCATTCTAGAGGTTTTGGGTTATAAAACATATTTTGCATTTTTTTTTCCTTTTACTGAAATAAGAAAAAACAAATGCAGTATGAGTGTACCTAGAGACCTAAGCCATCGCTCGCTCGAACTATATTAATCACAAAATACCCCTCGATTTTTTGTGCAAACTTTTCCATCAGAAATCTTGCTCTGATGTATCAAGTGTAGCTTATTTTCTGAAAAGAAATTTTATCTCCATGGTTATTTGAAAAGGTTATTTTTGAATTTTTCCAATTTTCTCAATAAATGCGAAAAATCAAGAAATACTGAGAAAAAACTGGAAAATCAGTACAATATTAAACAAATATTATAAAGAAAATATTTAATGCCTATTTAATTATTCGATCATATTATGACATATATATTGTTGATAAAACATCACTATCAACTGAACTTTGCTCAGAATCCTTTTTCATTAGTAATGGTTTATCGTTGTGTATACAGATATGAATATAATTGCTTCTATATTACTGACTTCCACAACAGTGGCACGCCTATATCCTGCAGTATCGATTCTATTTTAAAATAAATTCATTGTATTTCAGACAAAATGATTAATCTGAACAATCAAAATAGACAGTTAGAGGACAGCTTAAAAGAGAAATCGTCGCAAATGAGTTCGTTTGAACAAATCACCAACATAAAGTTTACAGAATGTGCTAACATTATAACAAAATTGTCTAAATCTATTGATCGTATACCATTATAATATCTCACTGTTATAAATGTACGCAATATAAATATGTATATAAAACTCTTTCCGAGTTATGACGATTCCCACTTATATGCTATACTTTACGATATGAGACAATAAATACCAGTGACTGGTTTTTTAAATTTTTTACAAAGGCGTCCAAGACGACTACAAACCCAAAAACAAATTACCGATTGTTAATTTTTGTGGTAATTTATGATTTACAGGTATACTCCTTGAATTAAAGAACGTAGGATATAATGGAATGTAAAACTAAATTCGTCTATACGTCCGTAAAACACTGTTGATAAAAACGTCAAGGTACACGTATAAATAATGTGATTGTCATGGCAATTACAAAACAAAGTAAACGTGTGTTTATTTAAACGGGGATGGATCCAGGACAAAATAACGGGGGAGGCGATTTTTAAGTATGTTTGAGGGATATATTTATGACGAGCTCAATGATAAATCCAGCTGAGAATGTATTGGAAAGTGAACGGTAGGAAGCGATTGGTCTTATCGCCTTCCCCTGGATCCGTCACCGATTGTAAACTTAAACAGCGAAAAGTTGAGGATTTGATTGATTTGGCGAAAGACCAGATCGGAAAACACGATTACGAGCAAATTGATAAAAAATAAAATAAACATTGATGCTGTTGTTTAAGCTCCCCTGCAAAAGTCTTTCCAGACATTAGCTTTCCTGAAATCCGTTTTTTTAATAATTAGATGTATAATTATTATTTGTATTCAAATTTTTTTTTTTTTTATATAAAATAAACGTAACATTCTATATTTTCATTCGATTTGCTGTTTTCATCGAAAAACCACTTTAAAAACCATTTAAGCTTTATAATTTGCAGTATTGTCTGTAATATTTTATTTATCCTTAAAATTTAATAGTCTATATAACAATATAACTGTAACAATACTCCATAAATATAACAATAATATAAAATTTAAAAAAAAAAACATTCTTAATCGCTAACTTCGGTGGTGCAAAATATTCACCGCGTATTATAGAAAAGTTTACAATGCAAAATTTGCAATGTAAATTATAAACGACCGGCACACAAGAAGTGCAAATAACGCGGATTTTGTCCGAGAGTGTGGATTTATTATTTCGGGAGGAGAGGAGGGGGGAATTAGTTTGAACCATTTTACTATTTTAACTATATACAACATGTAATTTATAAGTATTTTGATCGAGATAAACACAATATTATGGCTGCAAGAACTGTTAAAATGTAAACGGTGTACACATATAAGCGTCCCACGAAGATATACAAATTGTAATATCTCTGGTGATAATAAAGATAGACAAAATCTGTTTTGTTTTTTTTTTTTATTTATTACTCACGGGGATCAAGACTAGACGTATTTTTAATTATTTATAATTTTTTTTGTATTCAGAAATTTTTTTTTACGTAATAAAATTACAGAAATGTATGAAAATTTAACAAAATTATTAAAAATTATATTTAGAGGTCAGAAAAAAAAATAAAGAATGTAATTATGTAGCAGTTTTTTTTATATAAGAGTTTTAGCTCAAATTTTGAAGAAAATCGTAAAAAATATGGCATTTCACAAAACATGTAAATAAAAGATCGTCGCTCAGAATCGTTTTTCATTAGCAATGATTTAAATATATATAAAATAGTGTGTCCTACGATGATCTGACACTTGAAATACATTTTATTTTGTTCAATATTTTTATTATTTTTATTTTATTTCATTTTTTTTAATATAATTGGTACGCTTTTACGCTACAGTTAATATATTTAATTTTTTTTTGTTTGGTGGGGTAACTTAAGATAACAAATTTAAAATTTTGTCATTTTGTAAAATAGATTTTTAGAACACTTTTGTCGATAACTTTTATTTTGTTTTCTACAATTTTTTGAAATTTTTGCTAATGTGAATATTATTGTGGTTTATAGTCTATTATAATATTTAATCAGTAGTCAGAGTACATCAAATTCTGATTTGATCACCAAAATTTTTCTAAAAATCTATTTTACAAAGTAGATATTTTTAATTTTTTTTTATTTAAATTTAATTTATTAATTTTTTAAATTAATTTTTAATTTTGTGTTTTAAGTTCCCCGTCTAAAAAGCGGAAATGTATTATATTAACTTTACCGCAAAAGCATAGGTATTATTAATTATTTTTTTTAAAAAAAATATATTAAATATATTCAATAAAACAAAAGTTTCAGATCGTCGCGGGATACCCTGTATACAAATATTCACACATAAATACCTAATATAATAATATATGCAACATTAATCAAATCACCGGGATGGGCATATTATATTATATTATAACTAACTTTGATAATATCGATAGTTATTATATTGTGACTAATAACATAGCAATTTAAAATCATTTTCTTTGTATAATTTAATATGATTTATTATGTAGATTGAAAAAAAAATTAATAACGTTACGTGAACAAGGAATTAATGACGCGCATATTCCTCCTTGTACTTCGGTCGAATGCTGCTGTAGAGTTGACAAAAACGATAACCATGATAAAAATTCGAAAACAATATACCTATATACCTACAAAAAAAAAAAAATAAAAAAAAATAAAAAACACTTGTATTATATGGAAAAAAAAAATGTTGATAAGATATTTTATTATATCACCGTGGGATAAAAGTAAAAAAAAATAATAAGGTACACATCGGGCTGAATAAATAAAAGTGGTGTAGATAAAACTCTGCAGGTCGTTGTAGTCTGTATAGATATGTGACGCACATGATATGCACGCGCCCGCATAGGTTAAAAAAAATATATTGAAAAAATCTGAATAAAATTATAATACAATATTTCGAACACGGATCGAACGACGAAAATTGTCTTTCACACTACGTACAAGGGTGACCGCAGGGAGGAGGCTAAAAGGGGCATTCCCCCCCCTCCACTGACTTGAACCCCACTTGGATTTTTTTCTGGGTCCATTATCGTATCCCTAATCATTACGTAATATCGCAAAATAAAATTTTTTTTTTTCGTTTTTATTAATTAAGCATTAATTATTTATGTTGCACTATAAAAATAAAGGAAAAAAGATTAAAAAAAAAAATATTATATAAAAATGGTTTGGTTGTCATTTATTTATATTATAGTACATAGAAACGTTTAATTGTGTATATAGTTTAATCTCTCGATTTCAAATTACATATCGATTAGTTCAAATTAATGCTGCCATCTGTATGATTAAGTTGTAATTATATAACTATCTACATTATAATCGTACTTCATTAATCATTTGAACATTCATTATCCACCCATATGAAATCAAACGTGCCACAAACCATAGGTACTTTTATCACTAAAAACGGATATAATGAAAGTAAAAATTTAAATATTATGCTTACCCCCATCGACAAATTCCTGCGAATATCAAAAAAAAAAAAAAAAATCGTAATTTAGTTATATTATAGTACCGGATATTGTATTTTAGGAGTAGCGTGCACCGGGTAGAGTAAGTTAGAGGTTAAACCCCTTCATTAACTGATTCAAAAAACAACTAAACCTTGAAATGTGTTCAATTCAACAAAGTTATAAATTGATTTATTGAATATAAAGTTTTCGGCGATTTTTCGGATTCAATGTAGGCATGCGCGTTTATTTTTTCCCCCACAATAATCGATTATAGTCAATTAACGCATACAATCAAAAAAACATGTTGCGATTGTTCAAATTTTATACTCTGTGTCTCTGTTGAAAAATATCGCCGATCGAGTTAAACCCCCGTAAATCTTTTTTAAACTCAAACTAGTCAAAAATACGTTCTCGCGTGTTTTCGCCGGAAGAGTAATATTCGGATTACCGCAGATTTCTTAAACGTTTTATATTCATAAAGTAAACAAACATAGTAAATTATTATATAAATGAAAGTTAATGTATAAAAATAAAATAAATAACATTTTGACTGTGAAATACTTGATGATGAATTTTTAATTCGAAACCGGTCGTATAACACTGCACTTATCACATTACTCCAGGCGACGCATTGATTCATTTATTTTATTTACTTTATTTATTTACGGGTATTAACCATTTTAACAATTTCGTTTTTACTTTATTATTATTTCATTATGTTTTATATTCTAATATTTGTCGCGTCTTTCTATAGGCACCTATACTGTGTATACCAGTGTTTCCCAAAGGGTATGCCGTGGAAACTTGAACTTTGGTATTGTAGAAACTCATTAAAATATAAAATATACTAACTAATAAGCACAATACAGTTAATAAATAAAATATAATACAAACAAACACTTGTATTGTAATCAAATAACAAACAAATTTGAAAAATAAATAAAATTTATACGTTAATTTTAGTGTAATAAATGCGATTAAATGCCCAATGGTGTTAAATAGTTGAACTCGAGGAGGGATCGATGATAAACAAACACGCATTTCTTGTTCAACTGATTCAGTTCATTCACACTTGTTTTTACTATTGGTTAGTGCGGAAAAATCTAATTCTCAAAGATATATAGTAGAAATATGTAATAATAACGTACCTATTGCTTTTTCTGCAATTACCGGACAATCAATATTAAGTAAACCCAAATAATAGATATGTAACAAATATGCGAAATATTAGATCTTATTCTGGATTCCGAGTGGAGCGAGAAATACATTGGTAATACCAATGATGTTTATTTTTTATTTTTTTTTTTCCAAAAACAACTTTTCTACCAGCAGTTTTGCTCCGATGTACAATGATAGCACTCTTTCTGAATGGAAATCTGACTAGGGTGGTACTTAAGGGGAGTTATTTTTTGATTTTCTCAAGAATTTTCCCAGTATGGGGAAAACCGGGAAAAAAGTTGGAAAAACTGGAAAAAAAAGTTGGAAAAACGGGAAAATAAATAAAATATTAACAAATAAATATTAAAGAAAAATATGTTTAATGCATAGGTATGTAATTATTTTACCATAATGATATTATGACATATATATTATTGACAAAGAAGCAACACTATCAACCGAA